GGACATTTAGGAACTGGATGAATTCCTTGGGTGTTAACCCTCGAGTCAATCATTTGTATAGGTAAGCATATTTGGGAACACATCCTTAATGTGAGACAGAGATTGTGAAAGAGCCCTATGATTTCAAATACCAGTACAGTGTACATTCTCTTCACAAAATGTGGTCACTTTGATATGAGGGGGAAAGTTCCAAATTAGTGAGTGTTTACCTGAGATCTCACCTCTGTGCACCAAATTCACTGTGTGTTTAGCACAAAAATTAAAGCTCAGCAACATGACAGATATACTCTATATCTTAAGGATACGATTTGCTCAGAAGCAGACATAAAACAATGAATGGTGAGCTTGCAGTTAAGTGTCTTCTATGCTGTTTGTTAGCATTCTGTTTCTTTTTCGGGGGCAGCGTATATGGGCTGAAGGGGCCCAGCTTGTCACACCTGGGAAGAGTAAGTGCCCCAATTTCTGTGAATTATAATCTCTTTGCCTCTGAATATGGAGTTCCTCCTACCAATTTTGCAGCATTGTGACTATTCCTCAAGTTAATATATAAGGAATTGCCCGGCCTGCTACGGGCCCTGAATAAATGTTGGATATCTGAGAATTATTTTGTGGTTTTTTGTTCAGTGACTTATCAGATGCCCTGGTCATCTTCCAACTCTATGAAAAGATTAAAGTCCCTGTTGACTGGAACAGAGTAAACAAACCACCATACCCCAAGCTGGGGGGCAATATGAAAAAGGTAAATAATAGCTATTTTGATGTTCCTATAGACAGGTGAAACCCTAAGCTTGCAAGAACACTCTGTGAATACTCTATTAGGTGGCCCAATTTAGATAAATGATGTTTATTTGGGGATTAAATTGTAGTACAGCAATCAGAAACCTGAATGGTTTTATTAAAGTGAGTCCATTATTTCAGTTGATTACTTATTTATAATTCCATGTTGGAGTCTTTAGACATTATCATGTAAAAATTCTAATTAAGATAATTAGAGCAAGCAGAGCCACAGGGATTTTTCACCCAGCAGGATGCTTATTCTAGTTTTCTAAAGAATTGGAGCTTTGTACTGACAGCTCAACTTGCACAAACAGTTTGTCTACTGTCAACACAGTGGGATCATTGTTTTGTAACAACAAGGTTGGCACAGCCACTTCTCACCATTTCTCATCCCTGTGACTCTTAATGACCCATGTGCAGCCACAGGAATGTCTGCCCTACATGTCCATTCACTATAAGAATACTTTAACATGTTCTTGAAAACATGGAATTGAAGCATGAAATTGATTTTGGTGCCAAAAAAAATGTGAAATCTGTGCATAGCTCTTTCATAATTTGCATTTTCCAGGAATTTTTGAAAACCACTCATAAGTGTATATAGGTTGGAGAATCCAAATTCTCCATGTCAATCTCTACAAATTCAGTTATTTTAGGAATATTACAGGCAGATAACTAGAATGACTCTCTGTCTCTATAGTTAGATATAGGCATAAAAATACTTACAATAATAAATTCATTGTGTTTTGCACTTAAGAGTACACTATTTTTTTAAACTTTATCCTTTACATGAGAGAGAGAAAGCACACATGCACACACATAAGAGAAAGAGAGAGAGGGAGAGAGGACAGGCACCTTAGACTGTATCTTGTCACATTGCAATCCCCTTGCTCCGGCCTCTAGCCTCTCGCCAGTCGGGATCTTGGGTGTATGTGTGCCTGGTCTGTTTCAGGTTACCTCAGGATTCAAATCCAGTGTCAGCCACATGGTTTCCAGTTCAGTACATTCCTACCCTACTAGTCATGTTTTTGATGGGAGGGAAGTGACCCATTTAAGGAAAGATGCAAAATATTCTTTTAACCAATTTAGAATTCTGGAATTGTAGAACCAGTTGAAATGTGAAAGATCATTGAGTCTAGCCAATCCATTTTATTTGTATCTTGTTTTTTGTCATTTTATCAGAAATTTATCATAATCAAAATGATGACATTAAATTCTTTTTTTTTCTGGTCATTAACAGCTTGAGAATTGTAATTATGCTGTAGAGCTGGGGAAGAATCAAGCTAAGTTCTCCCTGGTTGGCATTGGTGGACAAGATCTCAATGAAGGAAACCGCACACTAACATTGGCCTTGATCTGGCAGCTAATGAGAAGGTAGTGTAACTCATGGGGATGATTTGTACTGGGAGGATTATTGACCTAGAAAAATCCTAGCAAATTTTTAGGAGTGTGATTTAATCTAGCAAAACCATAATCTGTGCTAAACTTAACAGCCAAAGAAGCCCTTTGTTTTCCTGGGTTTTGTTTTCGTTTTTGTTTTTGTTTTTTCAGTTCTGTACATTTTTGTTTCAGCTATTGTGAAAATCTGTTATTAGATGCATAAACACTTTAGAGATTTTGTCTTGACTTAATCATCCCTTTTTCATTATGGAATGAGTGACCCTCTATGCCTAGTAGTATTTTTTTCTCTGAAATTCGCCTTTTCTGATGGTCATATAGCTGCTAGAGATTCACCTTTATTAGTAGTTAATATCTTTTTACTTTTAACTGACTAGGATAATTAACAGTTCGTTACCTCTGAAAACGTTTTTAAAACTAAGGACGAAATGATGCCATATTTACCATTCCTTGCTGAACTTAGTAGATTTGTGCATTTCTAATTTCCATCAAATTTGGAAACCTTTTGGCTTTCATTTCTCTAAATATATCATCTGAACCTGCCCAGCTTTGTGTGGGGGAGGCACACATACATTTAGTCATTTGTGGTTGTCCCTGAACTCACTGCTGCTCAGTTCACTTATTTCCTCTCTGTTTTATGCTTTTGTGTTTGATTTGGGGGTCATCTTTATTGCTATATCTTCAACTTCACTGATATCTCCCTCCCCTCAAGTTTTGTGATGTCTAATGTGCCACTAACCTGAGCCAGTATATATATTTTTATCTCAAAATTAAAGTATTCACGTCTAGAAATTTTCTTTGAGTCTTTTTCACATTTCCCATATCTCTCCTCTACCTTCTCAAGCATATAGAATATAATTATAATTTCCTTATGGGTCTGTTTCTACAAATTTATTTTTATCCTTCTTATGCTTTATCTTTTCTAGCTTCTTTTCCTGCTGCTAATTTTTTATTGCAGGCCAGAAATTATGAAATTCATCTTGTTGGGTACTAGTTCTTTCTATATTGCTTTAAATGTTCTTACATTTTTCCTGGGATGGAGTTAAGTTACTTAAGTACAATGTGATCTTTTTGAGGCTTACTTTAAAGCTTAATTAGTCTAGAGCTCATTTTGCCCCTTACTACTGAAGGAATGCCCTTCAGACTTCTTAATGCTCTAGGTATTATGAAACTTTTCCAGTTCAATTGGTGAGAACCAAAGAATTTCCAGCCCTCAGTGAGCTCCAAGGCTTGTTCTACCTGTTCATTTCTGGTGGTTCTTCCCCCTGCAGTTTCTTCATATGCTCTACCAAGGAGTACTCAGCTGAGGACTTGAGGAAAACCCTCTGAAGACCTCTGGAGCTTTCTTCTTAGAGTACTTTCTCCATGCAGCTCTTTCTTGTCTGATTTTCTGGCCACAAATTCTAGGCATCTTGGTTTCCTTGAGTTCTCAGCTCTGTCCCTTCAACCACAGCCATGCTCTATCCCTTGAGTTCTCAGATCCATCTCTTCAGCAAGGCCATGCTCTGCTGGGTTTGTCTCTCCCTCTATGGCATCCTGAAAACTCTCTCCCTGTGACAGTATGAGATAACCTTAGAGCTCAGCTTGTTTATTTCCCTCTTCTAAGGACCGCTGTTCTGCTCCACAATGTCTGAACGACATTGTGTCATATGTTCTTCATTATGTTCTAGGTGTTTTAATCTGGTGCTTCTTACTCCTTCACAGCCAGAAGAAGAAACTGCTGTTAATACTGTTTTTTTCTTTTTTTTAAAGAATTATTTTATATAACTTTTTATTTATTTATTTATTTATTTACTTATTTTAATTTGACCAGAGAGAGAGTGAGACAGAGAGAGAGAGAGAGAGAAAGTGAGACAGCAAGCCTCCAGGTCCAGGATTCAAACCGTGGTTGGCCATTATGGGGGGCCAGCACCCTTAGTCACCATGCCACCTGCTGGCCCCAATACTAGTTCTTTTGATAGAGAATTTTAGATACCTGTTGGAGAGGAATATAAACTTTATTAATATGAAAACTATATGGTGCTGTTAGTTAAATAATAATAGACTAGAATAAGATATATATATGAAAATAAATTATAAGAAAAATAAGCAATATTTGGTTCATAAGCATAAGGCTGGGAAGAATTTTAGATAGGAAATCTGTAAATGTAAAAAATGACATTATTGTATTTAAATGTTTCACTCATTTTCCCTGTACTGATAACTCTGACTAAGCAGAAATCCTATATCTTTCCATTAGAGTCTATATTAGTGTGATTTAATTCATTTTTCTCCCTGGAAAGAAGCCCCAGAAGCCACATCACATCACAGTCTGTCTAGCATGATAATAGCAGAGACTAGGTTTGTAGTGGCCTTAGGACATCAGCTTTAGTCCCAGGCCACTGCCTAGAGATCTTAATATCAATGACTGGCTCTTGATGTAATTATGTCAATGTTCCCAGGTGATATAGGATAATCAGAAATGATCCTAATAGATTTTGATACCTGATTCACATTATCTTTACCAACCATAGAGTTCCATTACCTACTTCTAAACCCTTGTATCCTTAATGATAGAAGGCAGATGTCATAAGACTGCTTGGCATAGAAAACTCCAGACCTAAAGAAACTAACTCTATGTTCTACTTTTTTTTTTTTTTTAAGTTTTTTCTATAGTGTGCATGCACTCACCAGAGACAGACAGAAAAGGAGGGAAAGTGAGAAATCACCCCCCAAGGGGGATGGCCTCACTACAATTACTTCTCCTCCAGTCTGTTTTTGGGATATTGGGCACATGTGCACATGCATGGGGCCATGGGGCATGATTTTCAAGCCACTGGGTCTGGGCCTCGATCTGCATAGTAGGCCATGTGAGATCCAGCGCCTTAACTTCCATGTTACCTGCTGGCCCACTCTATGTTCGATTTTACTGTATATACCTAGAATGTCACTGGATATTCCTAAGGGTCTCACCAGCATATTTCCAGAAACTATTTCTAAACTATACTTTATTGTCTTGCAAATATATTCTTAATTATTAACAGATTGACATTCGGTACTGATTGCTTCAAAAACTGATTATTACAAAGCAAAAGTTTTTTTACTCATAACAGTTAAACTCACTCATGGATTATAATACAAAATGTTCCTTGATATAGTCTAACTTAATAATAGAACAATTCAGGCCAATTCTATTCTGCTTTAAATTTTATAACATCTGAAAATCACCTTATAATATGATTTTTGTTCTGGAAGTTTTATAAAAATGTAACTAAAGCCCTACTTTATAATTGGTATATTCAAGGGGGAAGGTCTTCAAAAGTTCATGGAAAATATGTATTATGAAAAAACCTATTCATGGATTTCTAAATTTTGCACTAAAATAAACTCATTTTAATTCTGTTTTTCACAAACTTTTTGAAATCCTCTGTATCTTGTAAGTTCTACTCTGCCATTGCTACCTCCAGTAAATTAGTAATCAGTTTTCTTCTGAGTGTTTACTGTATCAGAATTATGCACATAAAAAGACCAGCAGATGGCATAATGACATTGATGGACTCCCATGTAGTTGACTGTGGTTCAAGTCCCGGACCTAATGTTTAAAACTCACACCGGGCACATGTGCATGTGCGCCCAAGATCCCAAGAGGAAAATGGAAGAGAAGGGACTGTGGTGTGGCCATACCCCTGGGGAGTCATTTCTCACTTTCTCTGTCTCTCTGGTGAGCATACATGTCCTATAGCAAAAATATCTGTCTCTAAAAATACATTTTTTAAATAATTATGCACATAAGAAAGTGGACAGAAAAATTCATTACTGTTGAAGGAGAAGAAATGACTAATAATTATATAAATGGCACTAGATTGTTTTTGTTGTTGTTTGGGTTTGCTTTGGTTTTGGGTTTCTTGGGGAGGGTTTGCCCTGCATACTGCATTTACAGTGAGTTCTAGCTTGTATTCCTTTCACTGGATTGTATAGATTTACTAATTTGGTCATTTATCTGGACAGTAAATGGCATGTCATTTTCCCCCCTAAAAGCAAATGAGAAGTATGTGTTTAAACCTTCCTTTCCCCTTTAGTAGCCTGGAAACCATGCTCTGATTGGAAATCAGTTAATATGTGTGTACACTTGAAGACAAAAGCCTCAACCAAGCAGGCTTCCAGCAGACCGCTATGGCAGCTAGACTCAAGCAAGCAAAGGAGTCTGAGGCAGGCAAATGAATGAACTCCCTCAAATTCAGACAGGTTGTATATTGGGCTGTCAGAAAAGACATGACACATTTTTGCATAGAAAAACATTGAACAAATACATCAGGACCCTTCCAACAACCCAATATGATAGATGACATGGTTGGGAGGGGTCATTGAATAACAAACCATTGCGGTTTGTTCCTTTATGCCAGGTGTTGTATAAATAAAATGAGTGTCTAATGCAGGTGGGATAGTAAGCAAGTCATAGTCACGCCCCTTCGAGGCACTGCCCGTACACACCTCATCAATTTTCTTCTGCAGAATGTGGAATTGGCTAAAGCTGGTCTCATAAAGCTGCTTCATGTTGATAAAGGGCTTCAGCATAGGGTGGTCTGTAAACAACAGATCTTGCCTGCAGGGTCTTTGATCAATGGCATAGTTGTGCCCAAATGTGTTTGGTGATACAGAGTGATTATCTCACAAGGGAAAATCTAGGTAGACACAGGCCAAATTGGTTTTTGTTTTCAATTTTGAATCTGCATTTAGGCGAGTAATTGCTTAGTGGCTCATCCAGAGTGAGTTGAGACTCCAACTCAGCTCTGTCCTTTCTTCCCTTTGTTGTGATTCCACTTTTAACCTCTGCATCTCACTTGAGGTGGCAGAAAGGCTGCTGTGTGTTCACTAGAACTCTGTGTCACCCTAAGGGACTGATCTTAAACCCCAGGATGCGACAAGCACCCTTCACAATTTTTTCCACCTTTATAAGGTCCCCTGTCCCTCCGTGGCCTTTGTATAAAGCTGGGATTCTGCTCTGTACCTTTTAGTTCCCTAACTCCAAGCCTGCTTCAAACATACTGCTTCTGTTTATTTGAGCATATTGACAAAGCAGGGCTGGGCCTTCTGACATGGGAAGTGAGAATTGAGTTCTGAGATGGAAGCTGCTAGATTAAACTCAGTTTGTTCCTTCAGGTTGTATTTAGAGGACCTAAGGAAGCAAGCACTGACCTACTATATCTTATTGAGAAATCCATTTGGCAGAAATTCTTAAATGTGATGGTAAATGCTAATAATTTAATGCACATGCTAGCTATAAGGAGACAAGAAGCCAGTTACTTCATAAAATACATTCTTTATGACTGGATCAAAGGTACAGTCCTTTTCTTTGTTTTTTTTTTTTTTTCTTTTTAAGAGATTTTTGCTATAGGGTGTATGTGCTTGCCAGAGAGACAGAGAGACAGGGAGACAGAAAGCAAGAAATTACCCCCGAGGTGGGATGGCCACATCGACATCGCAATCCGTTCTCCTTCATCCTTCACTCTGAATCTTGAACATTCATGCATATGCACCCGATGTAAGTTTTAAGTCATCCGATCTGGGATTTGAACCACAGTTCACTACATGGGAGTCCAGCAATGTAACCATTACATTATCTACTGGTCCCAGGTACAGTCTTTTCTAAAGCAGAAGTATTTTGAAAAATTTATGCGGGAATTAGCCCATTTGCACTTAGTATTCGTTAGCATTTGAGTCCTATCTCTGGGCCCAGTGTAAGCATTTCTCATCTTTTGCTGGGAGAAAATCACTCTGTTTACCCACCACTCTACACTTGTATTTATTAGATATCCAGCAGTAGTTGGCAATCTGCCAACCCCTGAAGACACCATAACAGATAGGGTACATGGACCCTATGATGGAGATCCCCACCATTCACAGATCTGGGAAATGGGTTTAAAGCAAGTGTAATAATGATACTTAGAATACTGTGTGCATCAGAATAGTGATGCTTGACCTGGAAATTGTTCAAAGGATTAGAAGTGCACCAGCAGAGAAGGGCAATGAGCACAGCTGAGTCCCTGAAACAAGAGATAAGAAGATGCATCTTGGAGTTGGGGAGCTGCAACCTTGATTGCGTGTGGTTCAAACCCATGTGTAGGTGTGAATATATGCATGCATGTGTCTGGTATGGGGGAAGGTGATGAGCAAGGATTAAGGGAAGGAAGAGCAAAATCAGAGATGCACTAAAAGAAGACACTAGAACCAAAGTGTGAAGGGTCTTACAGGCCACACCAGGGAGTTTCGTCTGTATTCTTTGGAACTATGGAGAGTCGCTTTACATATGACCAGAGCTATAGCTTGGAAAGGAAGTCTGTGAAGAGGAGAAATAGAATTAAGTAGGTTTGGGAGGAATCATTGAGCAGATGTCACTGCTAGTTTGGTAATTGTGATTTTTTTTTTAATAAAAAGTTGCAGAAGCCATTTTCTACCCCATCTACAATGATGGAAAGGTTATTTAACTAAAGGAAGGAATACATCATTCTTATTTCAAAGATCAAACTTGAAAACCATGTGGAAAAATCACGAGAAAACTGTGCTTTCTTCAGAAGCAGTAACTGAAGGAAGATGCCCAATGGATTGTGTAAACAATATCCCGGGCACCAAGTGGAGAGTGGCCTCATTTGGGTAGGCCCTTCCAGGCAAGATTCAATCACAGGATTCTTGAGTTTCGTTTGAGAAGTGTACACTGTAATCCTAGCCCTGAAGGTCTTTCAGGCCTCTTGCAAACCTGTCATGAGGTCAACAAACGTGCTGTATTGCTCAACTGTTTGGTTTTCTCCCCTTTCAGAAAGGAGTAGTCTTAGGAAATGGGATTCTTTTCATGGAATTTGTTTGTTTCCTTTTGTTTTGTTGTTTTTTAGGTTGTTGCCAAAGGGTGTGCTCCACATAGAGACAGAGAACCAGAGAGAGAGAGAAAGAGAGAGAGAGAGAAATCATCCACCAGGAGAAATTACCCCCCAGGAGGGATGGCCGCAGAATAGTCCTTTCTCCTCCATTCTCTTCCTGGGATTTTGGTTTTAAGAGCCTGGAGCATCTTCTTAATAAATATCCCCCCAAACAAAACAAAACAAAACAAACGAAAAAAAATTCTCATAACCATTTGTATCTAAGGTAATTCTAACCCTCAGACTAGAGATTACCTTTTGTCAGTGTATTCCTACTTAACATAATACAAGAAAAAATTATTTAATATGTTTTTGTCACATCGGCTACTTGGATTTTTCTAACATTGTGCTGTTATTCCTCAATTTTTATGATTCCTTTAAGAAAATATCACTGGTTGAAACCCTTTGTTTCAATTATTTTCTTTGAATTTCTTCTTCTCTGCTCTTCCTGCCCAGAGCAGGTCATGTTTAGAAGGAGGTATTTGCATTTTATTGTAACAATCATACATTTCAGTAATTCTCAAAGGAACTAATGTTATGATGTTGCATTTATGCTACATTCTTTTTCCCTTAAATATAATGGTGTCCTGACTATCTTCTATGACATACCTAGAAAGAAAAGAAAAGAAAAGTTTACCTATGGCTGCTTTCTGTTACATGAATTCTTTAGCAACTTTTCTCACTATTGATTTTGTTCAGGTACACACTGAATATCCTAGAAGAAATTGGTGGTGGGCAGAAGGTCAATGATGACATTATTGTCAACTGGGTGAATGAAACACTGAAGGAAGCAGGGAAAAGTTCATCCATCTCCAGTTTCAAGGTAAAATCCTTACTCTCTTAGTAAAGGCCCCCTGAGCTTCAAGATTATCTTCCTTGTTTTCATTATACGTTAAATTGACCTTCAATGTTAGACAGTCCAGGCTCCCTTTCCCATTTTGATTGGCTTAAATGACTCATTATTATGTTGATCTTCATGAACCATTTCACTGACAAATTTATCACTTTCTCCCATAATAATTTTAAAAGACCATCATTTTTTAAACATCATTTTAGAGATTGTTCTTTCAAAGTAACATAAAACAAGACAGTATTTTTTAACATGGGCACACCTCCATGATTCAGATTTTTAATATCGTAATGTAAAATGTTGAAAGATCTGTGGATGGAAGATCACACACACAAAAAAAACAGTCATTTACTTGTGTTCAAATTTCATTTTTATTAATAACAGAATTATATGTTATTAAGTTTCTTAACTCATGTTTCATACATTAGCTGAGTTCTTCATCAAGAGACCTACACATTTGATCTGTATCATAATAATGTCTGTGCTATCTTTTTCTTTTTTTGAGAGGGTTTTTTTTGCTACAGGGCGCGTGTGCTCGCCAGACAGACAGACAGACAGAAAGCGAGAAATCACCCCCCGGGCGGGGTGGGGGGGATGGCCACGCCGCAATCCCTTCTCCTCCATTCTCTTCTAGGGATCTTGGGCACGCACGCACACGCGCCCAGCGTGAGTTTAAGCCACCGGGTTCGGGACTCGAACCGCGGTCGACTGCATGGGAGTCCAGTGACATAGCCATTACGCTAATTGCTGGCCCCTCTTTTTTTTTTTTAAGAGAGATTTTTGCTGTAGGGTACATGTGCTCGCTAGAGAGACAGAGAGAGAAAGAAAATGAGAAATCACTCCCCCAGGGGGATGGCCACAGCAAAATCCCTTCTCCATTCTCCTCTTGAGATTTTGGGCACATATGCACATGTACCCAGCTTGAGTTTCAAGTTGCCAGTTCCAGGACTTGAACCACAGTTGGCCATGTGGGAATGCAGCACCTTAACCACTAGGCCACCCACTGACCCCCATATCTGTGCTATCTTAACTACATTTTTCTAGTATAAAGGTCAGTATATGGAGGAGGAGCTCTGTTAGAACTGTATTAACAGGGTTGGTGAGGTAGTTCATCATCATGTCAATCCTCTGCTTCCAAATCAAGACAAAAATTGAAACCTTTCCCCACCTGGGATGAGCTGTATGGAGTGGGTCCACTTGGTGTGAGTCTGTCACAGCGAAGGTCACCTCTCCTGCACCTCCAGCTTATGATTCAGTCCGCAGAACTGAGCAGTGAGGAATGGATGCTGGAAACTGAAGTGAGCAGATTCTTTCAGAAAGAGATTCGAACAGCCAAATTGAAAGGAGCTCTGAATATTGAATGTGCCGAGAAACAGGGGCTCCTTGTTCATAGTGTCTCAGTTCACCTTCCCAGACATTGTGAAGTAGGCTTTACTGTTTTTCTCATTTTATAGCTGGGCAAATCAAAGCTCAAGTAACAATCTGAGATTATGGCTACAGTTTCAGGGAACAGTCCATAAATGAGGGGGAAACATCTTTTACCCATGGGTAAGATTATAGAGCAGAGTGTATCTAAAGGTCACTTCTGGTGAGTATGAAGTGACTAGTCTCGTGGCCTAGGGGTGCTTCTCCTTGTAAAACAGCTGCCATTCCAGCCAGTCACATTTTCTAGTTTAAAGGTCAAAACTGAGGGGCCAAACTCCTCCCACCGTTGAGCTCTACACAGGAAGCCGGAAGCAGAGTAAAGGTGACCTTGCCTGTGATGGGCTCGCAACAGATGGACACTCCCCATATGGCCCTTAGACAGATCTTCTGCTCATTCAGAAGGGGAGAGATTGCAATTTTTCTCTCAGTTTTTAAGCAGAGAATTGACATTGACTCTGGCTCCTTGGGTGTTCTCGTGAGGCCAAGGTTTGGCAAGCGATGCTGGGACTCTCACCTGTACAAATCTTTGACAGATCTTTGTTTTTTGTGATACTCCGGACTCATTTTCTCCTGTGTCTTCTAAGTCGTTACAGAATTGATTAAGTAAGAGGAATATATAATGTATCAAAAAACTTTACATGTCAAATTTAGCCCCACATTTTAAGTGAAACCCTTTTAAAAAACACAACTTACTCTCGATGATCCATTTTGGAAATAATCCTGATCCCATTTCATCTCCTTCTACCACCATTTGTTGGCCTTATCTCTACTTAGCAGCATCTCCACATGACCAAACAGAAAGCAAGAAGGTGGGCAGAACTCAAACCTTTCCACTTTCTCCTCTCATGTGTTTCTTCACCAAAAAGTTCTGTGAATATAGAAGCCAAGGCTAATGGTTTCTATACTGACTTTAACTTCGTGGTAGTTCCCACATTACTACTCTGACTATATTTTCAAAAGCTATTCTAACTATACAGGAAGACATGATGCTAGAGGAGTGGCATCTGGCAAGGCTCCTATCACCTGATTCTTGCTGAGAATTTATTCTGATTTGGACCTCATTGCATGAGGATCTGGACTTCACTGTCTTGGATGGTGGCATGCAGCTGCACTCCCAGGTCCCTAAGGACTGTGACTTGCTATTGGAGCAGGAGGGAAGAGAACAGATGGGGCAGTGTTTTGTGCGTTCACACCATAGGTGCATTCATAACTTGAGGTGTAGACATCAAAACATTTACAAATGCCAGAAGCAGAGTCCAAGTGTTTGTTTCTTTGTTTTAGATTTTTGCCATAGGGGTCTGTGCTTACCCAAAAGAGACAGAAAGAGTGACAGGAGAGGGAAAGTGAGAAATCACTCCCCTGGGGGACAGCCATGCCTCAATCCCTTCTCCTCTATTGTCCTCCCGAGATTTTGGTACACATTCTCACATCCCTGGCATGTATTTCAAGCCACCAGTTTGGACAGAGCTCAAGATTTTCTTTTTTAAGAGGTTTTTTTCCTTAGGTGTATGCACTCACCAGGGAGAGACAGAGAAAAAGAGAGAAAGAGAAAGAGAGAGAGAAGGAAAGTGAGAATTCACTACCTGGGGAAATGGTCACGCCACAGGTTGTTTTTCTCTACTCTCCTTCCCCGAGATTGGGCATGCGTGCACACATGCCTGGCGTGACTTTCAAGCCACCAGGTCTGGGACAAAGCCCAAGATTGTAAGCCAGAATTTAAAGTTCAAATCCCAGGTCCACAACTTACTGTATTCATGTTCAAATGAAGATCAGGTGCCTATGGAAGGGTTATGGTGACAGTGAAGTGAGATAAACCATGAGGCACCAACAGAGCGCATCTGCTCAAATAGTTGTTGTCAGTGTTGCCCTGGCAATGATTATTCTCTGTCCCCAAGATCTCTAAAGAAAGAACATCTCCTGGAACAAGCAGTTAGCATAATGGCTATGTCACTGAACTCCCATGTAGCTGACTGCAGTTGGAGTCCCAGACCCAGTGGCTTAAACTCACACAGGGTGCATGTGCGTGCGTGCCCAAGATCCCAAGAGAAGAATGGAGGAGAAGGGACTGCGGCATGGCCATCTCCCCTGGCTGGGGTGGAGGGGGGGAGGGGGGTGATTTCTTGCTTTCTATCTCTCTGTCTCTCTCTGTCTTTCTGGTGAGAACATGCGCCCTATAGCAAAAAAATCTCTCCAAAACAAAAGGAACAAAAAAAAAGAAAAAAAAAAGAAAGAGCATCTCCAGAAGCACCTGTCCCACTGCACCCTCACCACCACCCTGCCACTCTCTTATGGGACATCCTTCTAAATGAAGCAGGGTTTCTCCTAATATCATTAATTTCCCCTTTATGATGGTTTCTTTTTTTAATCTACTTCCTTTACCACACTACTGTATTGCTGATAATTAAAAGACATGGTTCAGCCTCTGTGTTTTTCTCTAGTTATTCTCACTTTTATTCATGATTTGAAAATGACTCTCTACTATTGGCAGAGAGTGGGTTTTCTGGGAAGTTACTGATGCCCCTACAGAAACTTCAGTCAATTTGAAATACCATGTGAAATCCTGTGGCATTTTCCAGGCCAGGCTGTGCATCGTCCATATTTAAGAGGAAAGAACTGCCCACTTTCCCTGAGCAGGATGGAAGTAACTTGGGGTGTGGTGATAAAACTCTCTTTCTTTGTGTGCAGGACCCAAAGATAAGTACAAGTCTGCCAGTTTTGGATCTCATTGATGCCATCCAACCAGGTTCCATTAACTATGACCTTCTGAAGACAGAAAGCCTGGATGATGAAGAAAAACTCAACAATGCAAAGTACGTACGTAAGCCTGAGATCAGGAGGGAAGGACCCAACTGGATCTTTGTAAAAGTCTAATGCTTGTGACTTTTTGCAGACACTAAATTTTCACTATCAATACTTTATCTCCTCGTGGATTATGGTAGACCTATCATCATTTTAGATATGGTACAAAAGCAGCTTAAGGCTTTGTTTTAACATGGGAATCAGGACAATAAACAAGAATATTCTTGTTTTTGATAAGCGAGCCTAGTTCTAATCTACAAGAGACTCCCTAAATAAAGTTTGTATGTGACAGGCCTCAAATATAAGCATCCCACTTGTGAATACCCATGGATATGAATGCCAGAGCCTTTACCAGCTTGAGAATAGCTGCCATTTGATTTACCATTTGGATCACCTGCCTAATGATTCCTCTATAGAGCCAGGGTCAGCAGACTGAGACAGACATGGCCTGGTTCTGCCTTTTTAAATTATTTATTTAATTTTGTTTATTGTTATTACAATTTTTTAATTTGCTATAGGGCATGTGTACTCATGAAAGAGAGAGAAAGAAAGTGAGAAAGCAAGTTTCCAAATCTGAGACTCAACTACAGTCACCTATATGGGAGTCCAGCATCCCAACCACCATGACACCTGCTGGTCCATTGCTGTCTGCTTTTAATAAATAAAGTTTTACTGAAACATAGTCCATCCACCTACGTACTATCTATAGCTGCTTCCCTGCTACCACTACAGAGTTGAATAATGGCAACAAAGCCTGCAAAGCCTAACATATTTTCTTTCTGGTCCTTTACTGAATAAGTTTATCAACCTCTGCTCTAGAGAGGCACCTTTATTGGAGCAGTTATAATAGGTTTCCCAGGACTGGGAATAAAGCACCTTACAAACAGGGTGACTTAACACAATAGAAGTTTATTCTCACACAGTTGTAGTCACTAGAAATCTAAAATCAAGGTGTTGGCAGGGTTGGTTCCTTCTGAGGGAGATTCCGTCCCATGCTTCATCCCAGTCTCTGGCAATGGCTGCTATCCTTGATGCTTGTAGATGAACATCTCTGATCTCTGCCGCCACCTTCACATGGCATTCTTCCTGTGTGTCCATGACTTCATGTGGCTGTCTTCCCTCTCTGTGTGTCTCTGTGTCTCTTCTCCTCTTTTTATAAGGACACCAGTTACACTGGATTGAGGCCCCACCCTTCTCCAGCATGACCTTATCTTAACTTTACATCTATAAGAACCCCGTTTCCACATAAGCTCACAATTGGAGGTACCAGGGGTTAGGACTTCAACGTATCTTTTTGAGAGAGGGACACAAGTCAACCCATAACAGAGGTCTAGAATTAGTAAGTGTCTAGTACCCAGCATCCCAGCCTTATAACCGCCACAGTACCCTTCTCCCTGTTCCCAATTTGAGAAAGTAGGAATCTATGCTCCTGATATACTGATATTTAGCACAGTCTAATGAAGAGAAAATAAATAATTAAACTGTGATTATGATAGAATGTGATAGGTGGTATAGAAGGGGGGATAGAACCTGTTATGGAGGGTTCAAGAAGTGGACTGAAACTCTTTTAGAAAAAACAAAGATTTATACTGAGCTTCAGTGACAGGACAAGAAGGGTGTAGACAGGTGAAAGAGATAAAAAAGAATATTCCAAACAAAAAAGAAGAAAAGATATGAAGACCTAGAAATTAGAGGGGAAAAGAAAAACCTGGGTCCCATGATCTAGGGACATGATTGGATTTAAGCAATTTGACAAGGTCCAGATCATGTCATTTTTAGGCCATCCAGATGGGATTCAAAGTCTGACTTGAGAGACAAAGCTCCTAAGCCCTTTCCTGTTAAAGGCAAAATATGACATTGTTTGGAAAAATGGGTGAGAGTAACTAAGAATGTTATGTTAAAGTGGCAAGATAGTGTATGAATTTTTAAGCTCTTTTCTGATCTTTAAACAACTTTTCCTCGCCATTTGATAATAGAAAATCAATTTTACTTAGTTAATAATTAATATAGAGGAAGTTATTGAGAAAAGGACAAGGAGGAAAAAAATGCTGCTATTCTTTCCTGATGCTCTTCATTTAATTTGATCAATAAAGAGTGAAGTTATTTTAGGAGAACAAGAGGAAGTAACGAAGCCTTGGGTGAAGTAGAGACTTTCTGGAGTAGCCGTTGTAAGAGGTCACTAGATAACTAATGAAGTGAACGCAAGAAGTGCCAGGTAGTGGTATGACTCATTTGAAAATAAGTTACAGTTATCAAAGGTTATCTACAATAATTACAAATAGGGTAAAACTATTCTCTAATGTAGCTGTGATCATTCATGTAGAAATATGGAAAAGAAGAAAAGATATGAAGACCTAGAAATTCGAGGGGAAAAGAAAACACGGTGGCTCTTCTAATATAGTACCTTAAGGACGTAGCTGCATATATGGGCAAGGTTTGGAATGGAGCAAAAAAAAAAAAAATACATGTATGCATAAGGTCCAGGTATTATAGATGCACGTTTTTTCCCCTCTTTCCTCTTTTCCCATAGTTGAAACATCATCTGAAAACCATTCCTGGCACATGTTTGTTTAAGTGTGAGATACGTTTAGTTTTATTTACTACATCATTTGACAAGTTGACAATGAATACTTAGAATTCTCAGATTCAGTTCCATAGCTTTTTCTGTCACTCGTTGTAGCCCAAGACAATATTTCTGCTATGGGTCTCAAAAGTGGTGGAGCTGAGAGGGCTCCATGGGAAAATTATACATTTGGTAATTATCATGAGGCTTGACAGCAAGTCTGATGGAATCAGGAACTTTACTAAGTCAGGATCTGTCCACAAAAGGGAAAGGATGCCAGTGACCAGGCCAGCCATTCCAGGGACGAGTCCTCTCCTGACCGTGAATAACTGTGATTATGATCCTGAGGGTGTCTCCTTCCTACTGTCTTGCTCAAGTGCTTTTCATTTTTCTTCTTTTCTCTCTTTTAGATATGCCATCTCGATGGCCAGGAAAATTGGAGCAAGGGTGTATGCCCTTCCAGAAGACCTGGTTGAAGTGAATCCTAAGATGGTCATGACAGTGTTTGCTTGCCTCATGGGGAAAGGAATGAAGAGGGTGTAAGGCCCAGAGAAGGTGGGGCAGGAAGCGGTACGCTCAGTCCTGACTGCCTAGCACAGGATGCTCCCAGGAAGCACGGCGACAGTTCAAGCCATTCCAAAGTTCTCGACTTGATGACATTATACAAGATTACAAAAGTGCATATGTGTTCAATCAAGTAGCCAAGTAACAAAAAGTGCTTCATTCCTTGTGGAAAATCCAGTCTCCCACAATTTTTTTTTGTTCTTGATTTATTAGCTTCTTCAAAAGTCTAAAAAATAAGAAGTTATTTTCCAGATACTTTCCTGCTTTTGCTGTTAGTTAGGAATAGAAGCTGCAGTGTTATTAATTTTGACCATATATATTAAATATTAATTATTAATCTTTCAAACCAGTTTAATTTGGCTGCCTTTTTCTTTGTGTAAGGTGAGGACCCTGAGGCGGAATCAGTCCTGTCCTGAAACTTTTTAGTAGAGGCTGACTTTGATCTGTTCCAAGCCTCTGTTTCTGTCCCCTTCTCCTACTGTTTGCCTGTGCTTTGCTCTAGACACTCTCAGAACTATGCCTTCTCTGTGGTCCAACTTGTCAGCCATCCTTGTCTCTGGGCCTCCTGGAGAAGATGACAAATCGATCAGTAAGGCTTTTGGGGCACCAAGGTCTCTGATAGCCTGCAGAAATAAGCTTCAGCATCAGAGCCTTTCCACAAAACTGAGGTCCTAAATGTCATTAGTTTTTGGGGGTTTTTTTCAGCCAATAGGAAGCGCTCTGTTTTTTTATGTTAGGATTTGGGCTGAGACCTGATCTAACATGGTGACTGCTGTGCCCTAGATAGATTCCTAACTACTGGACTCTAAGAGAGTATGATAAAACAATGAGCCACTAGGGGGCAGCGTGGGGCTATAACAGCATCTAGTCTTCAGGGTACTCACTCTCCACTATTCAGCCCTGCAGGTTAGACGGAGCTATTATACCTGGTGACTTTTGGAAGAAATCCTGCTTTGCTGTCATTTGCTCTTAGACCTTAGCATATCTGATTCCTGCCAGGCCATATTATCAACGTTTACATTTTTTTATACTATATGAGCTGTCGCCACCTCAAAGCTCAAGGAGGCAATTTGTGCCAATGTATAACACCCCTGTCCAGACCCCACATACACATAATCACATATACATGAACTAGCCTGATGTCAAGGGTAGAATGACTACATGCTGGATGTAGAACTGGCTAAGCTGCCTTATAAAGAGTTCGTTTATTAGACATTTTTAAAATTCCCAAATGCAATTCCCATGAAAACAGACGGAAGGCATGGCAGCAGCACTGTGAACCAACACTGTACTCCCTGTCATGGCGAAAGGGCTCATCAGTGTGGTGTCGTCTTCAGGGGTAGTATGTAATGGAACTTAGCCATTTCTTAAAGCAATTGAAATGCGTTGCCCTGGATCCATCCCTTGGCAGTGGGCTCAGGAAGTCAATGTGTGACTTCTCCCACCCCCTAACCAGGATTTCTGCTAAATCTGAATGCAAAGTGATTGGCTTTGGCTTTAGTCTGAACTTAATGCAGCCTCGGATGATTTTCCTCCATCTGCTTCCAGGAAGGAAGAACGTTTCTGCCTTAATGGAAAACGAAGATAAATTAATGCTCAAAATCTTTCCAAATAAAATGTTCCCTATATTGGTTGTCTCTAGATGTTTCCTTTTGAAAGTTTAATGACAGTGTACTGTAACTCATTAATTCATTCATTCAGCCAACATGCATTGAGTAGTAGGTACTACGAATATGCTTATAAATGAGACAGGCATTGTGCTCAGCTGATTAGGAAAGACAGATGTTAAACAATTAAAATGACAGTTGTGATAAGTGATACAAAAGGGCAGGGTGAGATGTGAGCTTATGACAGGGCACTCACAGTCTGAGGAAACATGAATACTGAATAAGTTGCAATTAGGCAAAGGAAAATAAAATTAAAGTTGAGAACGCACTGTCAGAAACACATTGAACTTCATCATAAATAAAAGTCCGACTTGGGATTAGTTCCAAAATGTCTTCCAGAGAGAGTTGAGAAGGAATCATTTGGGTCGGCAATGACTGGGATCTCTTCTTCCACTTGGCTAGATCTAACTTAGGCAGGAGGTGGGAGTATGGTAAGAGGAATGCTTAGACATTCTGCTGCAGCCAGCTCCCTCCCTCTGGGCTGGGCTGCTATCACAGAGAAACAAATCGGCCATTCATTTGGCGTGATCACCCCTCAACCTATAGACGAGCCACATACCCACCCAATCAGTGGCTAGGAAACTGGGCTTTTGCGCCTAAGCTGTGTGTCCTGGCTTCACCGGCAGCTGCTTTGGGGAGGTGGCTCTTTCCTGGTCTACCATATCTGTAGCTTGTATACTCCTACCTAGGAGGTGGCTGACCTCCCTACATATTAAGAGGCTACAAATATTATATGGGATTTCTTTGTACCTGACTGTACTGATAGTTCTCATGAATGGAGAGACGAAACAAGTATAGGATAGCAGAATAAGAGTATTTTTTAGGACCAGCAGGTGGCATGGTGTGGTTAAGGGAGCTGGATTCCCACATGGCCAAGTGCAGTTCAAGTCTTGGATCTGGTGCTTGCTCTCTCACTTTCTCTCTCTCTCTCCCTCTCTCCCTGGTCAAACTAATCATAATAATAATTAAAAGTTAAATAAAATAATTTTTAGAAAAAGAATATTTTTTAATTGCCTGAGACTGTCCATGCTTGCCAGAGAGAAAGCATCCCTATGGGACATGGTCACACTTCAGTCTTCTTTCCTCCACTTCTCTATTTCATCAGGATTTAGGGCACACGAGGACATGCACCCAGCATGTTTTTCAAGCTGCTGGGGCTGGGATACAAACCACAGTTGGCCATGTGTGATCTGGCTCCCGATGCACAGAACTTCATCACTGTGCAATGGGGCTGGTCCCAGAATAAGTGTTGTCAGGGAAAGAAAATGAAGACTCTCTTGGAGACGAGAAGACTAAAGGAAAAAGCAGTCTAAGCATGATCATTTTTCTCAATTTAAAATTGTATTGTTACATTATAAAGGATTACTCCAAACATGGTATAAGAAATTAAAATTGTGTCAAAGGTCTACAATAGAAAGGTAGCCCTCTTTCCAGCCCTGTACCTAGTGATACACTTAGACAAGCTCATATCAGCTCACTGGAGCTAATTGAGTTTTGTGCACCTATTGTTACACTGTTGTTAGCTTGAAATTGACCAGTGCAGCACAGAAATGTTCAAACCACAAATAGGCTTTTTATTCTAAAAAAGCTAATTCACCAACCCACCACTACCTCTGTCACAATCCCCCAATTCTCCTTCTAATCGTCAACCACTGTTCCCAATTTTTTGTATCCTTCTGTAATATTGTATGCACATCTCACACGCACACACGCACACACGCACACTCACACTTTTTATTACAAATATTAGAACGGCATACACATTCCACATCTCACTTTTTTCACTTAACATCATATCTTGAAGATTGTTCCACATTGGTTCAGGTAGATCTGCCTCAGTCTTTTCAACAGATGTACAGTTGGTTGTATAGATTTGCCAAAAGGCATTTAACTAGTGTCCTGTAAAGTGATACTTAGGCTGTTACAATCTTTTGCCACAGCAAATAAAGCCACAGTGAATAATATACCCACTTCTTGAGCATAAACACAAATTTTAACTCACCAGGTACTTATAAGTTTCTGCTCTAGCAAGGTATTGAGAATTAGGTAGTAAAACATGGATCCTCTTAAATTTTCAAGAATTATTTTACAAAGATCCCTAAGCTGGAACAGATGCTCAACTCAATCCCAACTTTTCCATCTTGTGTTTAATGAGCCATGTTAACCCAGTAAGGACATAACATGCTTGCATGCATATGTACACAAACCTTAATACAAAACAAAGTAATAAATGGCATAACAAATTTTAAAATTATTGGAGTATTCCATAACTTACTATGGGGTTATGTCCCAATAAACCTAAAACTAAACTGAAAATATAATAAATTGAAAATGCATCATCACTTAAAACTATAAGTCATTCCTCAACTTAAGTTGGGTTTACAGGTTCTACTGAATGCTATTGTTTTCACACTATTGTTAAGTCAAAATATCTTAAGTCAGACCTTTAAAAGTTTGGGATTGTCTATATTAAGGGAACTTAGGAGAAAACTTGATTCTGAATAAAAGATCAGCAAACGTTTGCAGAAGAGCTCAGCTCTGACATATGAGAAGTAGGCAGGAACCATGCCTTATGCATGTCGATATCCCTGCAGAGCCAGCCACAGTTCTAGGTTTTTAATGAGCTAAGTAGATAGAAAGAGATAGAGAGACAGAGAAAGGAAGAAAGCACCCCCTCCCCAGGAGAGGGTCATATCACAATCCTTTCTCCTCCATATTCCTTTCAGGATTTGGGGCATATGTGCACACAAGCCAGGCATGTTTTCCAAGTCACTGGGTCTGAGACTTGAGCTGTGCATTCAGCTCTTTGGGATCCAGCCACCTTAACCACCATGCCACCAGCGGGCCCTACTAAATGGCTTTTAAAAAGTAATTTATATTAATCACAAACAAATGTTTCCTAGCTGTAGGGGATGCTGAATAGAGAGAAATAATTGCGAGAAAATTTGTGAAATAGACTCTACCTAGAGAGTTTTTAGCATAGAATGGGTTCCTGCATATCTGGAAATTATAACATTATAACCTGACCGATGCAATGTGCTGGATCAGACTGCACTGAGACTTTTATAGTCTCAGCCAATCTAGTGATTTTATTCACCTAGACACACACATACACCTGCACTTCTAGTCTGTCCCTGGGAGGACATTGTGGTCTTGATTGTGAAGACCATGGAAACAGCTCAGCTTAGACCAGCCCATTTCAGACATATGCTTAATGCAGACGAGTCACTGCCGTGTGCTCCCCGTGTCCCTGGAGCGGTTCCTGTGCCCTTTTTATAGTTGACCTTTGCTCTTTGTCCAGCCCAATGTACCCCAGTGTGGAGTAAATGCCAGCAGTGTCTGTTAGTAAGCTTGACATTGATTTGCCCAGCACATTCATGTAAGTCTCACAATTCAGAAAGCAGAGCTTGTGTTCAGAACAAGTACACAGAGTTGACCAATCCTCTTGTGAAATCTGGTTCTGTTGACAGTTTCCTAATAAAATTCCTGTAATTAAACTTTCAGCTGCCAAAGATGGCCATTTGTTCAATGTGCTTTCTCCCAGTTTCAAAAAGAAACAATTAAGCCTAAGATTGGGTGACAAGCACATACACACACACACACACACACACACACACACACAAAGTAAATGTTTTTCCATGTCTAAAGTCTACATATATGTAATAAACCACCTTATGTCAGGCATGTACACAGACAATCTAGGCAATACCCACTATTTCACCATTAATAACTCAGATAGATTGGGAAAATGGCAGTAATTTTTATATTATCTAGCATGTCAGAATTGGAGAATTTCATGGGTAGCCATAGTGACAAAATGGTAACCCAACACTCCACAATACCAAAGCCACATGGGAACATCCTAGGTTTGTGTTGCAAGGTCTCTCTAGATGCCAAGTGCATAAACACATGCTCATGATCCTGGCCAGCTGCAGCTGAAAATTAATCATGGCATGAAGACCCTTTTGAGGGTCTCTCTCTCTCTCTCTCTCAGGAAAAAATAAAAATCAACTGTAAAAATGGACAATTTCAGTGCCAGCAGATGGTGTGGTGGTTAAGGTATTGTAGTCCCACATGTCTGGACCTGGAGGCTTGAAAATCACGCTAGGCACTTGTGCATATGGGGCCAAAATCCCAAGAGATTGGAAGAGAAGGGACTGTAGTGTGGCTATCCCCTCTGGGAGGGGGGTGATTTCTCACTTTTCCTCTCTCTCTCTGTCCCTTTGGTGAATATAGGTATCTTACTGCAAAAATACTTTTTAAAAAAATTGGACAATTTTATTTAAATGGTTATTTTGGTACTAGTCAATCCAGTAGGAAAGGAAAACCTCTTAAGCAAGTGGTGCTGGAAAAAATGGTTATCCACAGGGGAACCAGCAGTTAGAGTAATGGCTATGTCGCTGGAGGCCCACGTAGTCAACCACGGTTCAAGTCCCGGACCCGGTGGCTTAGAACTCACACCGGGCGCATGTGCGTGTGTGCCCAAGATCCTGAGAGAAGAATGGAGGAGAAGGGATTGCAGCGTGACCATCCCCTTTGGGGGGTGATTTCTCACTTTCTGTCTCTATGTCTCTCTCTGTCTGTCTGGCGAGCGCACACGCCCTATAGCAAAAACCTCTCCAAAAAAAAAAAAAATGGGTATCCACCTACAGGAACATGAATCTGGACCCTATCTCTCACCATTGACAAAAATCAACTCAAATTGGATCAAAGATCTGAACCCAGAACCTTAAACAATAAAACCATTGCTGGAGAACACTGGGGAAACTTTGGGAGACATTGGGGTAGGCAAAGATTTCTTAAATAACACCCTCAAAGCAGAGACAATAATTCTAAAAATAGAAAATTGGGATAACATCAGATCAAGAAGATTTTGCACAGCAAAAGACACGGTATCTAGTGTGAATTGACAACCCTTCGAATGGGAGAATATTTTTGTAAACTATGCCTCAGATGAGAGA